CCTAATTTTAATCATTTAGAAACTGGATCCATTTATTATTGCGTTAAATAGCATCGATTTTATAGTATGCGCCTTAAATGTAAGTTTTTGTAATTTAATATTTATTCATAACATAATAACATGTTAATCTGTATTAAATTTAACATTTACTTATATATACAGACATATAGTCTTTTATGTGTACTATCACACTACCAGGTGTTGAGCACACAAACTGATCAGGTATAAATGAAAAGTTTTCATATTTTTAAACATACTTACCCCCGCATTCTTACTTTCGTGCATTACATAATTAATATACATAATGATATTGTAAAAATATAATTGTCAAAGTATAAAATTTTTGTTGTTTAAAACATTATTTTGATAATGGTTCGAATTTTTAGGATATGTTAGTTTTAATACTTTTAGGTCTAATTTGTGTTTTGTGTTTTAAAATAGGACTTCCCGTTTCATATGAACAGCGATGATGTGAAGGTCCAGTGCATAACCAACGAGACGTCCACTACCTGTCAGTTCTCCAACTCCGCCAATAAGGACGCAGCAAACTCTACGTACGGCGTCGAGTGAACGGCCCCACCATTTGCCCCCCAATTCATACGGTTTACTGTAGTTTATGGGCACATATTTTTGTAAACTTGTCACCAAACAAATAGTTCAAGCTAGTTGTAATATTATAAATGTTATTTTTAAGTATTTCATATTTTTAATAATTATAATGTTTGCCATTTTTTTTGTCAAATATGATTTTGTTTTAAAATAATTTATTTATTCATATTTAAAATTTATTTATATTCATAATCTCCCTAGTCAGTCATTTACTTCATGCTCATGTAGCCGATACATTACAGCAGAATATTCTGTGTGTAAATTAAATCAAAGAAATACTTTGTCTAATAATATCTCAGTTTTTAAATCTTATAAACGAATGCGACTGTGAAATGATATTTGAATTATTGAACCGTATTGTATCGTGACAATTAAAATAAAATACCAAGATTAGTTATATAATATAACTTATATTATTGACATAATCTTTTTTCGGAACTATTTTATGGTAATTGGTGTTTTTATTTTCACATACTGTATAAAAAATTATTATAAAACCAGATTTAAGCTACATTAAAATTTTATTCATATTTACATACAATATTAAATTCATACTGTATTTTAGGTTTTAAAATATAATTCAAACAAATCCTTATTGAAAAATTTAAGTGTTAAGTGAGAAACAAAATGCTTTTAAGTTATAAAGTAAGTTAATAATTAGTTTGTTTTAATTTTATATAGACTTCAAATGAACCGACAGTTCATATGCCCGGGAATCACATCGATGTCCATGTTCTCGATATCGCCATATTCTGTGAGTCGATGGACAGAGATTTTGATAACTTTCCCGTTCGACCCGTCCATCAATTGTCTAAACTCACGGACAGAGTTGACTGGTTTTGTGTCCACTTTCGTGATCACATCAAACAACTCAAACACACCCCTGAATAGGAAATGGATGTCATTTATAGTTACCATTTACTCAACACATTAATTAATAGATAATAGTGGACTGGTATACTCCAAGTGCTGAGGAATGTCGGGTACGATATCCGCCACAAAAACCCCGCCATTCAATGAATAGCCAAACTGTACGTTAGGGTCGTCTGAATCCGGATCTCCGCCACCGATGAAGAAGGCTTTGAAGGACTCATTGACTGCATTCACTACTAATCCTAACCATTGATTGCCTATCAGTTCATGTCTTTCCCTAATGGCTTGCATTTGATTTTCGTCTCGATTTTCGGATTCAATACCTCTTTCAATGAATTCTTAAGAAACGATAAAAACATCTCATATTATATGAACTGATAGTGCGATCACTGGTTATAATCACAGAAAACACAAACCTTTTATAATGTAATCGTAAGGAATAGCATAAGCATCAGAAAAGTCTGGATCTTTACCCGAAAGCATACCCACTATCTGTCCGTTGATATTAAACGCCGGACCCCCGGAAAAGCCCGGATATATGGGACTGTTGTTCATAATATAGTAGTTGTCCGGGTGATTCAAATTGTCAAGATATCTATAACTACCGCGACTAAAGGACCCGAACTCCATGTCCAGACATTGAACCACACCATCGCTTATACTGTACTGAATCCGATGATTGCCAACCGCCACAATGGGTTGGCCCACATTTACCACGGTATCTGACAACACACATATCATACGGTCAGGTAGATTAGTGGCCAGTCGTATAAGCGCACAGTCGTTCTCGCGCTCAATATAAGCTACATATCCCTTGTATTTAAACTGGGGACTCGTAGATCGCTTAATAGTACCGGTGTCACCGTCGCGAATAAATAGCCTTATGGTTACGGGGGTCGACACATCGGCCTCTATAGTGTGAGCGCAGGTCACTATATACCTCAGATCAGTGGTTACCATCCCTATACCCGCATTACTTTTGGCATAACCATCAATAGTGGTCCGGTAGGCGTGTATGGATACAATGCTATGTCTGGCGCCCCTATATATACGTCTAATGGCTTCGTCGGTGTTTATCATGTGAGCCATTCGTAGGCCAATCTCATGGTTAGTGTTGTTATTTATCATCAAATGTTTGTTGAGTTTTGTATGTCTTTTGTGACAATAAATCCCACTAATTGTCGCATTAATGGTTACCATTTGTAGACTTTTTTGAACAGTTTGTGTCAATAGTTTATACATTTGAACGATAGTTCACAAGTACTTGATGTTTAACTTCAATATAACAAATACTGTAAATATTCTGTAATTAACAATTATGAACAAAATAAATATTTATATTAATTTATTGGTTGATTACAGAAATTTAGAAAATGAAAATTGAGTTAATAAATATAAATTTGAATTTAATTAATCTATAATTAAATTAGCATAAAATTTATGTCATAAATCTTAGTGTTGAACGAGAATAAATTGAATCATCCAAATCATATAGTATTGTATCTCAATAATACAGGTATTTTTGTAGAAGTTAGTTAAGTGTTTAGTTTGAATAACTTATTTTATTAATCAGTGACAGGACATCTAATTATAAGTTAAGTCCATAGAGGCATAGAGGGTCGGGTCGGGCTTCCCGGTTAAAGAAGCCAAAGAAGTCCATTGTTTATCTATTATTTTAAAAAATATTGATTTATAAATTTACAAGAATTAGGTCTTCCCGGTTAACCTACAACAAAATAGGACTAAAATAAAAAATTTTCATATTTAATATGATATAAATAATATGAAAATGACAATTGAATGAAATTTGGATTTTCTAACAAATCTTATCAACGCTTTATAACGGGTAGTGAAGTGGGTTGAGGGGGTTGAGGGAGTTGTGAGGGTTGGACAGGTGTTTGAACCACAACTGGCAGTTGGTTTGACCGCTTTTTGGCACTCCTCTCGACGCCATTGAGAATCATGGATACAATGAATGCCAGACAACCGCAACATATGACCACTTCAATGATATTAATAAAACTGTGAGCTATAAGAGCGCCGTCAGAGATGACATACTCATGTTTGGGTGTCACT